TGTTGCGGTTGAGAGTGCCTTTGATGTGCATAGGCCAGCGGTGGATACTGACCACTCGTACCTGTGCCCACGGCACTGCCACCGTCGGGCGAGATTTTCTTCTTTGGTTGTGGTGTGTGCGCCGAGTGCGTGGGCGAAGCCACATCCGACGACTTGGACGAGCAATAGCCCGGCAAATGATGTCCCGGCAAGAGTTGCTGTTGCTGCGGTGAATGCGTTTGCGTTGGTGTCTGTTGAAGATGACGATCGAAATATTTATCGCCTACCGCACCACCACCAACACCACTGCCACCATTGCCGCCATACGAGGAGGCGTGCGGCAAATTGTGCGAACTATTGCTCTCTTGCAACAAATCAAAGCTGCAATGTGGATTTTTGTTTTTGTTTCGAGCATATTGCAAGGTTGGTTATTTGCCATGTGGGCGTCGTTGGACGGTGGATGTCGGTTAAAAGTTTGCATTTTCGTTATATACGCAAGTCGGCGCGGAAAAGCCATATGAAATGAGAAGCGAAACACACAGCGTGTTGTGAATATGTTGCTGTGCATAGGCCGGAATGGTGGAATAACGCTAAAAAGCAACAACACTCACCTGCCCTCCTTGCGTGTGCGTTGTTTCTGTAGTGAACCCAAGCGCAAGCTTTCGCCAGCGCCAGCATCGTTAAAACGCCGATAGCCATGTATGCTGGACAAACTGGAATCGCTAGACTTGCCCGACTCTTTGTAATGATTTGTTGAATCTGTATATGCATATGTATGAGTGTGTGGAAATATAATACATAGAGTGCATGAGTAATTTAAGTAGTTAGATAAGATGTGATTTCTTATGAGCGAAAATTAGTGCATGATGTGAAGTATTCTAAGAAACAGGAAAAGCCGTTAACTTCAGCTGCAGCGAAGCTAAAATACCCTGCACAGGTGCATTTTTTATAACATAAAAGGGTATAAAAATCTATCAGTTTGAATGGCAGCTATATGCTATATTCCGCCGATCTCAACAATTTGTTCGGTGGTTGTAGCGCTGCCTTGGATAATAATATATGCCGAATTTCGTGAAGATAATTTATTAAATAAAAAAGTTTTCCATATAAGGACTTGAGTCTGATCGATCAGTTTGTATGGCAGCTATATTCTATAGTGGTCCGATATCGGTGGTTCCGACAAATGCGCCGCTTCTTGAGGAGAAAAGCACGTGTGCAAAACTTCAGAACGATATCTCAATAACTAAGGGACTAGATTCATGAATATACAGACGGACATGACTAAATTGACTCAACTCGTCACGCTATTCATTTATATACATATATACTTTATAGGGTAACCGATGATTCCTTTTGGGTGTTCCAAGCTTCGTCACAAATTTAATATACCCTGTTCAGGGTGTAATGAGATTTCATCATAGCAGCTAAAAATTATAGATATGGGTTTATCGTGGCAAATATCTTATTTATATATATGGTATTATTTTGATATATAATATTTATAGCGATACCGTAGAAAATCGGAACAGAGATATCTTCTAGTTTTGAAATCAGCATTGTGTATTTTTCCAAAAAAAAATCTAGAAAATATTTTTTACCAAAGAAGTTATATAAATAAACAAAACTGATTTAGCTGGGCTCAGGGCGAATGTAATAAGTATTTTGTATGCACTAAATTCGAAAATCGTTTTATCAACCGCCTAAACTATGTCATTTGACCACCACGAAGCTGCGATAGGAAAACGTTAGACTTTTTATAGGGTGTTATAAAGAACCGGAGTTCGATATTTTCAGTCGTTTAAACTTTAAATTTTAAAGCAACAATCGAAGATACCAAATTAATGAAATTGTGATCCGTAAATAATAGGAACGTTTCTTCATTCGTATTAACTGCAAATACATAACAATCGGTTGCCTTTAAAAAAAAAAAAAGTACCTAATGGACCAACCTATATGCAACACTGCCCCTTGTTTGTCAGAAGTAATTTATATACTTAACTTAATATACTTGTTTTTAGAAAAAGATAAGCCCATGAATATTGTCGAAAATTAAAAACAAATTAAATTTTCATTACAGGAAAGTCAGCAGTATCGACATGGAAAGTTCAGGTCTCTCACGAAAGAACGTCTAGGCAGAAATCAGTGATGAAATCGATTGAGTTTTTTTGGATGATAGAAGATGGGTTAAAATTTAAGCCAAGCCTGAAGTGAGCATTTACCACTTATTATCTTTAAGAATAACATATTGCATTTTGTTCTAGCTTTTACGGGATTATTACGAAGCAATGCATCCAGCTATTCCAGCTATCTTACACCTTAAACTAAAGTTTATGATACAGAAGCGAAAGCATAATTGCGATTTTATCAATTGAGATTAGTTTAGAGGATGAAATATTAACAAAGACGTGACTGCTACATTTTTATGCTTTTACAAGAAGCATTTTTGGACAAGAAAAATATAATTCATTGTTTTAAGGAGTCTATGACAAATGTATAAAGGAATAATTACTAACTGCCATTATATATATATTATACCTATAATGGAATTTGAAGTCTTACACGCTTCCGAAGATAATACGGGAACATTTCTTTGAAAAATTTTTTAAATCTTAATTATATATACAAACATATTGGTATTTAAATTTAATGAAATTTTTGATTTCCTAAGAAATGCTACAATATATATGTGTATTAGGGTAGTCGAAAAAAAAACTTTTTTTTCGCTTGGTACTCTGAAAAATTGATGGATAGACACCTCTTGTAAAGGCTCTCCAAGTATGAGCTCTTAATTTTAACTGTAAGGTCCTTCGACTAACGATTTTCAATTTTTTTCCTATTATCAGATATTTTTTATCTCTTTTTTTATTTTTTTTTTAGTTTTCCTTTGATAGGCATTGATGTTTGACGATAAACTTTTAACTTAATCGAAAAATTATATAGAACGGGTTTTATAGAGCAGAAAATTTCCTATAAGTATATGAGCTTTGCAATTTAAAATGATATTTTTTCATTGAGTTAAAAATAGTAAAAATTAAACCGTTAATATCTTTTAATCGGTTAGGTTTACGAAAAAACGGTAAGAGACCATTCTGCAGAGCATTCAATTTCCTATGAAACGAAATACATATGTTTTCAAGTGGTTGGAAGAGGGATATGAATTTTTCTTTCTGATGAAAAAATTAAAAACCGTTAGTCGTAGGAACTGTCAGTTACAATTAAGAGCTCATACTTGGAGAGCCTTTCTAAGAGGTGTGCGTCAACTAATTTTTCAGAGTACGATGTAAAAAAAACATTATTTTTTTTTACCCACCCTAGTATGTTCGTGTGGACATACATATGCACATATGTACAAGTACATACATACACACATATTTGAAAGTATTTCTTACTCTGAAGGTCTATCAGTCGAATCAGATGGGCGGACAAGAAAGATGAGTCGTCTTGCAACTATTCCCAC